ATGAATTTTTAACCTCCTACATTCTTTCATTTGTTGGATTATATGAAGGCTGCTTCATAAATGAAATCTTTATTTTGTTTCCTACAATTTTATTTAAGTGTTTATCAGATCTAAAAGTTTTCTGGGAGGTTCTATATGGCCTTTTGAGTATAAAATCATGCCATCTGGAAGTAGGCATGGTTTGACTTCTCCCCTTCTGTTCCATCTCCTTTATGTCTATCTCTTCCTTCATCACTGTGGTTAAGACTTTGAACACTATACAGAATCAGAGAGGTGAGAATGAGCATACATGTCTTATTTTTGATTTTAAGGAAAATGCTGGTTTTCCTTCTTTACTATAATGTTTGCTATAGTTTGTTGTATGCAGCTTTATCACTTTGAGGTACAATCTCTCTGTTTCTAATAGCCCCAGAACTTTAATCATGAAGGTATATTGAACTCTGTCAAATGAACTTTGCATTTCTTGATTACAAGATTTCTGTTTTTAAATTCCTTCATATGACGGATTACGTTTACTGATTTGTGTATGCTGAGGCAACCTGGCACTTCTGTGATGAACCCCACTTGGTTATGATGTATGATCTTCTAAATGTGTTCCTGAATACTGTTTGCAAGTATTTCAGTGAGAAATTTTGCATCTATGTTCATTAGGGAAATTGGTCCGTAGTTTTCTTTTTTGTTGTCTTTAACTGGTTTTAGTGTCAGGAAAATACTAGTTTTGAAGAATGAATTTTGTGGCATTTTTTTCTTTCTATCTTGTAGAACAAATTTAGAAGTGTTGGTATTACATATTCCTTAAAAGTCTAATAGAATTCTGCAGTGAATCTGTGAGATCCAGGCTTTTATATGTGAGGAGGCTTTTGATTATAACTTCAGTTTCATGTTTGTAACAGGTCTGTTTGAGTTTTTTATATCTTTTGGCTTTAATGTTGTTAGGCCATGTGCATTTAGAAATTCACCAATTTCTTCTAGGTTTTATAGCTTTTTGGAGTTTAAGTGTTCTGAGTGTTCTGTAGTGATACTCTGATGTGGAGTCTGTTGTGTTATGAAGTTTCTTCCCTTGTCATGTCTACTGGGGAGTCCTAAATGCCTGGTGTTCAGAGTTTACTTCATTCTCTTGGTTGAGGAAGTTTTCCACCACATTTCATTAAATAGTCTATTTCTTTTGTCCCTTCTTTTATCCAATGAGTTCTCAAGTTTGGCCATTTGAATGGATCCCAAAATTCTTGGAAATACTGGTTTATAATTTTTTACATATAAGGATGTTTTTATTATTGTCTCTGCTTCATATTACATCCTTGGAATTTGTTGTTCTGCATAGTCTTGTCTTGCTGATGTTTTTTGATATGGTTTTTATTCAAGTGACCATTTCTGCTTGTTTTTTTTCCTTCGGTTTTTTAGTTCCCTTGATGATTTTTTTTTTTTCTCCACATTTTGCAATTTCATCTCCAGTTCACTGTTTCATTCACTTTGGAGACTGTCTTGTGGAGGTATTAGATTTATTTCCATGGTTTGTGTATATGTTTGTTTGGGTTTTCTATATGGTCATTGATTTTCTTAAAACTACGGTTCTACGTTCTTTCTCAGAGGTGTCAGCTATGCAGTAACCTTGGATTATACCATGGGATAGTTGGGACATTGGAGATGGGCTGTGACTGGTAGTAGTGTCATAGTCCATGTTTTTCCTTATCATATTTTGCATGTCTGTTGGAATGGGTTTTCCTTCTAGTTTTAACTTCCCTTATTTCCAACTCTGGTTGTCTTGCTTTCTTTGAGTCCTCCAGAGAAAGTTCTGTATGATGTCATGTCCAGATGTGGAGACTAGTGAGTCTTGATGTTGATTCCTGGGTGGGACCACTGAGATGATTTGATCTTAGTGAGGGGACAGCAGGACAAATGACAGGAACACATACTGAGCACCAGGGTGGCAGGAGGGTCACAGCCCTTGTCATTTACTGAGCTATTCGAACTAGCTGGAAGCTATAGTTAGAACCCTGGTCCTTAGGGCATCTCTTTAACCTCAGACATCAAAACTCTGGTTCTGCAGTGACCTCTGAGAACAGTGGAGTATGTGCCTTGCTCCTGTGATGAACCCTGGGACTACTGGAATCATATCCCTAGGTGTGTAGTTGGAATTTTCTTTGGGCTGTAAACTAGTTCCCAAATAAAGACACAGAGTCTTATTATTAATCATGAGTGCTCAGCCTTAACTTAGACTTGTCCCACTAGCTCTTTTAACTTAATTTAACCTGTTTCTATTCCTCTATATTTTGCCTTGGCACCTTTTACCTTTCTTTCATTCTGTATGTCCTACTTTCCTGCTTTCTCCATGTCTGTCTGTCTAGACCCTGGTGTCTCCCTGTTGTCTCTTTTTGTTTTGTCTTCCGAGCCTAAGTTACTCCTCCTACTTACTCTCCCTGCCTAGAAGTCCCACCTATACCTCCTACCTCACTATTGTCCATTCAGCTTTTTATTAGACCAATCAGGTGCCTTAGACAGGCAAGGTAAAAAGCAACACATCTTTACATAGTTAAACAACTGTAACACATCTTTGCATAGTTAAGTAATTATTCCACAACATTGGTGATTTCTGCAAGTTAAAACTCAGGTCTCACACCGACTGGAGGATCCTGGATTATACACTTTGGTCTTCTGGTAAACTTCAGCACTGTTGAAGTCAAAGCTTTGGTCCTATACTGATATCTGGGACTGTTGATCCCACAGCAAACTCAGGGGTCACTGGAACAGAAACTCAGTAGCTGTGAATGCACCTTTTACACATGAAACTGTTTGGTTACTTTTCCCCTTAAGTTGTAAGAATTATGATCATTTTAAGGGTGGCACCGATGACAACTGATATCAAAGTTGTATGTCTACTCTAGGTTAGTAGATGGTTTAGAAAGATTCCCCAGTAGGACTTTCCACAGCAATAGAAATATCCCATCATGCACTATGGTTATGTCCCAGCATGCACTCAGATATGGTCACTACCAATCATATGTGGCTAATTAGCACATGGAATGTAATTATTTACTTTTAAAATATCCATATGTGAAGAGTGACTACCTTGTTGGTCAGTGACTAGCTAGAGCATATTTAGATCAATTTATCAAAATAAAATAAAATAAAATAAGAGGTAAATTATAGCATCATAGATAATGTTCCAATACTTGAAATGCAGTTTGAAAATCATCATTTTTTGATGATTTTTGATCAAATGGATCTACACATGTCAACTTGCATATATTCTCTGCTTACTAAGTATAGCTTTGGATCTCTGGAAACTTTGATTCAGGAACAAACCTGACTTAGTTATAAGAATCACCAGGACTTTGGAACTGGGACAATAACTGCCCAAAGGGGATGAAAAGTGGCTGTTACTATAAATGACTCACTCAGAACCAGGTGACAGATAAGAACAGTCTACTCTTTGATAGCAAAAGCATCAAAACTAAATTAAATAAACTGTCATATGTACACCTGTGTGCATGTTCATGTATGTACTGACATGTGCATCCATGTGTGTGAAGGATGGAAGTTTACATTGAGTTGAGTGTCTTTCTCAATCTTTCCATCTAACTTTTTTTTTTAAAGAGTCTGCCACTGAACCTGGATCTCACCAGTTCACAAAGACTAGATGATTGTCAAGACTCAGGGGTCCTCTTGTCTTTTCTTTACCATCCTGGGATTACTGGCATACTGCTATGCCTAGATTTTTACATGGGTTCTGGGGAATTGAAATTAAGCCTTCAAGTTTGCATGACAAGCATTCTACTGTCAGTCATTTCCCTGGCCTCTCAAAGTACCTTGTGAGTCAGTTCCTTTTCTTCTGTGATTTCAGGCTTTCTTATGGAGTCCAGCCCTTGACAGAAAGTCCATGACTAGTTACCTAGCCAGGCTACCAAGGAAGCGGGGATTTAGATGGAGATTTAAGGAGGCTTGTGTAACACGAATTACTAAATGCTCTTATTAATAAAAAATAAACAAACCTGGAGCCAATTATTGAGGTGAAAGCTGAAAGATCAGAGAGGTAGAACAAGCCACAGCTTACCTCACCTCATCAACTCCTCAGCCGATCCTGTTTCCTCAGACTGAACGCCTCTGAGTGCTCACCCGAATGGGACTCAGCTGCACTGCTGCAGCCACTAGCTCACTGCTACAAAATCCTCAGTCTAAAGAGCATGAGTTCCTGTTTCCTCACGCCTTATATACCTTTTTCTGCCCTGCCATCTTTCTTCATGAGAGCTCAAGTTCTGGGATTAAAGGTGTGTGCCACCACACTTGGCTCTGTTCCCAGTGTGGCCTTGAACCCACAGAGATCCAGACAGACCTCTGTCTCCCAAGTGATAGGATTAAGGATGTGTGCCATCACTGTCTGGCCTCTATGTCTAATCTAGTGACTGGCTCTGTCCTCTGATCCCTAGATAAGTTTTATTGGGGTGTACAATATATCATCACATTTTCCCTTTTGTGTCTAAAATAATAAAAGAAGGCTATAACTAATATAAGAAAAACTATATACAATAAGTACAATAAGGATGTACAATATACATAGTCAAGAATCACATTAACAATATCTAGTCCATTAACATTTGACAGATTCAGACAAAAACTCTGTTATTTAGCCTATTTTGGTGAATGTACTTAATTCACTTTCTATCCTAACTTATATTATCAACCAAAAGCTATCTTTTGATATTTTTCAAATTATACACTTATTACACCACTTAGTGAGTTTCTTCTCTGAATTTGTTAACAAGGAAAACTCTAACTAATCTTCAACTCCCTCAGAGACCCAAGAAGGAAATAATACTAACTGAGTAAGCAGGAAATATAAACAAATGACTTCCAAAAAATGTGAGACATGATAGAAACAGCTGACTGCCTGAATTGTCACCCAGAGTTCCTCTGCAACATTGGGGCATCCATCTTTGGCCTATAGGCTTAGTGTATCTGACAGACTCATCTGTGAAGCAGGGTTTTCTAAAGAGCCTTCCTACCTTGTCTTGGCAAGGATCAGCAGTCCTTTCTTTTGTGTCCTACTTTTCCATTTTGGACAGCATACTGTCAGCAGTTGAGGAAAGGTCACTTTCTTGCCCAGTGGCTAACTTTTGCCACAATGAAGGTAAGGAGTTTTTTCGACGCCCATCATCTTTTCTGAAGTAGATTGGTGCTGCAGGAGCAGACATGTCTCATTGTCTTTAAAAAAGGAAAAAAAAAATCTATGTCATTAAAACTTCTTAAATGCCATATTCTATAGATCTCTGAAGTGTTTGAAGATGAGCTGTCTATCTAAAATATATTTCTGCTTGACACTGAAAACATACCTAACACGACTACAAGTTTGATTGTAATGACTACCTATTAACTTGGATTTCTTATCTCCTAATTAGTTGGTAATAATAAATTTTAAGGACATTGTTAAATAAACTGTATAGGTACAATACCTTGAACAAGATAGAAATGTATGTACAGTATATTCTAACAAAATTAATCTCAAATTTGTATCAATATACAAAATGTGTATAGAATATACAAAAATCCAATCCAATGTAAAATATTTAAAACTAGTAGTTGCTTTCTAAAAGTAGATTCAATAATATATCTTTTTATCTTATCAGGCTTGTGCCTGCCTACATCTGCTACAAATAAAAAAAATTACTGCATAGAACATTTCTGAATGTCAACTAAGTATGAGATACTCTGGTGAACACATAGTGTACAAATGATATTCCTGGAAAAAATTCAATTTAGCTAGAAGATAGGATGTAACAATCTTTTGTATTTAAACATTCAGGAGATTGTGCCCATTGATCCAAATGTGTGAAATCATGACTTTAGAGTTCAGAAGAGGGGCATGTTTGGACCCTGGGCATGTCACATAAGCTTTGTGTACTCATATCTCATACACCAGGAGACATGTCTTACATAATACTCAATCTTATAGATCAAACCTGGTGCCTTTTAAAATTGTTTATGAAGTAGTTGACATGAGAGATGAGTCAGTCATGAAGAACTTGTAAATAGTGATAAGACATGAAGGATTAGAACTCAGGGTCATGCAAGTCTGAGAAGAAAAAGACTTATGAGAACCACCAAGCACCGGAAAGATAAAATAGAAACAGAAAGAAGGAAACAGACAGTTCAACAGATGGATGAACCATAAACTGCTTTCAGGTGGTTGAGAGATATTGCTGATGTCTGGTCATAGCAAGGTAGGGGATAAATATATCAGGAGGGGAAAATGGTAATGACCACAGGGACAAAAGTAAAAACCAAGTGTGCTCTTATTGTAAGTCAATAGCTACAAATGAATATCCCAAATGTTCACACTCAGAAAATAATGTTATACATTGGGAAAATGGCTTTTATTAGTAGTAAGAGCTTGTAGGAAGGTGAGCTGACTGTTACCTACAATGTGGCTCTCCCTAGTGCTAGTACATCCTAGTTTCTTTATGTATTTGACATGTTTGAATGTACATAGAGGCTCCTGGGACAGTTCACATGTTATAGTCATTAAATATCTTGGTAGTAATGAAAACCATGTGAGAGAGCAGCCTGAAAACTACTCAACACACACTTCCTGTGAAGCATGAAGGGAGGATTTAGCGTCTCCTATGCTGACTGCTTGGATTGTTAGAGTTCTTGAAAAATGTAATAGAAGAGATCCAGTCTTTGCTAGGAATATTAAAACACAGACAGGCTAATGAAGGTACTAAAAGATCGCCTGTATGAGTAGAACTTGGGCATAACTTCATGCTTTTTGTATTGTTATATACCAAAAATTCAAACCTTCTAAAGGACAGACACTCCAAATGAGATTAGACATCCTGGGGATGCACTGTGGAGGCATATGCCTGTGGAAGACGAGAATAGAGGTAGCAGGAACAGGGTCTAGACTGCAATATAGACATGGGGGCTAAAAAGGACCGAAGGATGGCTGGGTAAATGGCCACAGATGGAAGCTCATCTCTGAATCTCAGATAGCCTCACAAGAAGCCTCCAAGCCAGCTTTCACCCTGCATTGAGTAGCAAATGAATTCCTGCTTCAGTCTCTGCTGTAGAGAATGTCTTGTGGTCAGCTGCCAGAGGAACTGTGGCCATGGGTTTAAAGTCCCGGTGGCTGGGCTGGAGTCTGTCAGTCAACTAGGATCCTCACAGCCCAGACTCTTAGGGAGAATTGAGTAAGTCACCATTGTGAAAGACACAGGCACTTGTCACTTGGCTCAACATAAAGTTTCTCTACTCTGTACTATGAAATAGAGTTTTCCCCATTGGGAACTGGAGAGTATTGATCTATCATGATTGGTTCAAATTCTTTCTACCCCAAGCCTGATCTTCTACCTCCCTCCAACTCTGGATTTTCTTTTTCTGTGCTTCCTAAACTGATTGATATTGATACTAGAGACAGATTCATGTGTGTGTGTAGCTAGAGTTTTCCTGCCTGGCCCACAGTCAGGACAAATCTCTGACACCCGCCAGTCCCACAGCCGCTCAGACCAGACCAAGTAAATACAGAGACTTATATTGGTTACAAACTGTATGGCTGTGGCAGGCTTCTTGCTAACTGTTCTTACAGCTTAAATTTATCCATTTCCATTAATCTATACCTTGGCACATGGCTCGTGGCTTACCGGCATCTTCACATGCTGTTTGTCATCGTGGCGGCTGGCAGTGTCTCTCTGACTCAGCTTTCCACTTTCCATCTTTATTCTCCTCCTTGTCCCGCCTACACTTCCTGCCTAGCCAATGGCCAATCAGTGTTTTATTTATTGACTAATCAGCAACACATTTGCCATACAGAACATCCCACAGCATGTGTGTGTGTGTGTGTGTGTGTGTGTGTGTGTGTGTGTGTGTGTGTGTCTGATACTAGAGACATTCATTTGTGAGTATGTGTGTGTGTGTGTGTATGTGTGTGTGTCTGATACTAGAGACATTCATTTGTGAGTATGTGTGTGTGTGTGTGTGTGTGTGTGTGTGTGTGTGTGTGAGAGAGAGAGAGAGAGAGAGAGAGAGAGAGAGAGAGAGAGAGAGAGAGAAAGAGAGAGAGAGAGTGTGTGTGTGTCTCATTACATAATACAAATCACACTTCTTCTCCAGGCTTCCAAGTATAGAGGTTACTGAGAGAGAGAGAGAGAGTGTGTGTGTCTCATTACATAATACAAATCACACTTCTTCTCCAGGCTTCCAAGTATAGAGGTTACTGGGACCTACAACCACATCTAGCTTAGAGACAGACACTAGATGCAGATTTTTACATAAACAAAAGATCTTTAACATAATGTTTTTCTAAACTTGAATTAGGGTCTCTTTGTAGCCTATATAGATTAAAGTCCAGAAGTGGAGGGACTGAGGTGTTACCATTTTGAAATGTTGACCTTGTAAGACTATATACACAGCAAGAACTTCTAAAGCCCATGGATAGCTGCCAAGAAGTGACCACGGGTGGAGATTCAGAGTTGTTGTGTTTGGAACACCATGCTTGGTTGCGAATGAGATACGTGTCTCTGGCTGCCTCTACCTTTGTTTTTTGTCCTGAGGGACTTATCACATGTAGCAACATATCATTGATTTGAGATGCCAGACTGGCTGAGAAAAACTATTTCAGTTGCTGTCGCAGGTGTGCATCCTGAATAAATAAAGAAGCTGGAAATTGCACACCTGGACCCAGAGAGTAGCACTGTGGATGGATACCTGCCGGGGTGGAGGCTGATCACCAGAGTGCCTTTGGATCACTGTGATATTACTGGTGAGAGGAATGTGGCTCTCAGATCATGTCATCCTCTAAGTCACTCTGACAGTTTCCTCCAGCTTGCATAGACTTGTATCTGACTTACATTTCCTCCTAATTAGAAGTGTGTGTGTGTGTGTGTGTGTGTGTGTGTGTGTGTGTGTGTGTGTGTGTGTGTGACTCATCCAGAGGACAGGATTGAGAAAGACTGTGGTAGAGTAACACAAGGTTTGGGTAAAGGATCTTTCTATTCCAAGATTCAGTCATTCATTAAATTATCTCCAGTTACCATGTGACAGCCAGGAGGACTCAGATTCAGAAAGAAAGAAAACGTGTCTCCACATCTGAAATACAATTATTCAAACAGTCAGCTGTCACCTAGGTTAGCAACTGATAACTCCTAACTCTGGCAATGAATGCTGACTCACACAGAGTCCAAGAAGATCAAATTACAGCACATTTAAAAGTTTCCCATTTCTGTAGTTTTCAGGAAAACTGACACATTTTGACCAGCAATATCATTTATCACGCATTGAATGTATATCACATAAATGTACCAGAGATTAATGTTAACATAGCAATCCTGATGTAGATTAGGTGAGGCACAAATGCAGAGAGCAAGTCTTAGAGCATTTCAAATTATTAAGGTAAAACAGCATGTTTTAAACACTTTACATTACTTTTGAGAATTTCATACACACACACACAATGAAATATGTACACAGTAGGTGACTGCTGTCCCACTGCCATAGTCTGTAGCAAATACTAGTAGAAGAATATGGTCTATGGAATTTAGTTTCCAAGATTTAATCACCATTATTTGGTGCTGCAAATTCTTACATGTTTCAGGAGTTAGAGCTGCATCAGTTCTGTGCATCATTCCATATACTAGGTGGATTGACTCCCTAGCAGGAGTCTCACATCCCGCTTCCTCACAACTATTCCTTCCCTCAACTTTAATTTGCCAGTGACTGACATAGTTCTTGTTCAGTGCCTTGATACTGGACAATAGTAGACTATAAAAGTGACAAGTACAGCCCTTCTTTTGATGTAGGCTCTAGATTATTGAAATTTGAAAGAAAACATCAAGAAATGACAACATGTAGTGATGGGTAGAAGCAAACCAAAAGGAAGTAACATCTGTAGTGCAGTTGTGATCGTGGGAAAGCATCATGCAAGAACAGACAGGGCACACTTTGAACTGGAAGAAGGACACACTAAAGATCTAAACAGAACTCTGAGTGCTTGGAAATTTCAGCCTTTACCCTGATGGCTTCCAGGCCTCTGTTTTGAGAACTCAATCTTTCCTTCAATCTTTTATTGAAGGAATTTAAACAATACGCATTTTGTTACATTGGCTGCTTACACTATTGTCTGTCTCTTTTCCCACTTGACACGAAAACTCCTTGAGGGGTGACATCATTACTTGCTCATTTTGAGCCCAATGTGCCTGTGATGATGGCTC